TAAAAGACCATGAAGGATCTTACTGGGAGGGATAAAAATGTTCCAAAACTGAGTAATGATTATGGCTACTGAGGAAAGTTACTAAAATCACTGAATTGTACACTTGAAATGGGTGAGTTTTATGATATACAACATATGCCTCATTGAAGTTTTTTTTAGGCTAGGCGTCGTGGCTCGCGCCTGTAATCCCAGCACTTTGGGAGACCAAGGTGGGCGGATCACCAGGTCAGCAGTTCAAGATCAGCCTGGCAAACATGGTGAAACCCCATCTCTACTAAAAATACAAAAATTAGCCGGGTGTGGTGTCGTGTGCCTGAAATCCCAGCTACCTGAGAGGCTGAGGCAGGAGAATTGCTTAAATCCAGGAGGCGGAGGCTGCAGTGAGCTAAGACCGCTCCACTGAACTCCAGCCTGGATGACATAGGGAGATTTTGTCTGGGCCACTACACTGGGCCCCTCAGCATTCTAAATACAGTATCCTGTCTCCATTTACAAAGCTGCACAGGTATTAAAGATCGGGCTGCCTTTGTTGGGCAGATTTGGATTGGGGGCCCAACAGCAAAGATGGAGAGGAAAAAGGGAGTGGAGCTTGTGGAACAGGAAGCCCCCAGGGTCTGTGCCCGGCTGCTCAGCTCTTGAGGATGTTGTGGATGGTGAAGTGCTGATGGTGTCCCAGGGCAGCCCAGCACCTCCACTGGGCCCAGAAGGTCTTGACTTTGGACGCTTACCCCTGTTTCACAAGTGTTTAAAAGCTGTTTTTGCTTTTATTTTTTTCCTAAATAATGATTACTTGGTAGTTATTAATCCTTCTTTGGGGGAGGGACAGGGCTTTAAAACTGAAGAAAGTAATTTTCATAAAAGTATCAAAAATGGAAAACAGTTACTTTGTAAAAAATTTGCTATACAAACCAAATGGCAGCTGTTAAGAATCTCAATAAAATGTTAAGTGTATTTGCTGGCAGTGGTACCCTTCTGCCAGAGGTTAGGTCACTGTGCCATCATTCTGTGGGGTGGTAGGGTGTATGTGTGGTGTATATGGGTGAAACTTTTTGTCTCAGGATAGGTCATAATCTTAGTTGCAGTTTCCTTTCAAATAGGATGACAAAGTAGTAAAACATGGGCTTGGAAGTGTCAGACCTGAGTGAATCCCACCTTCACGACTTTGTGCCATTGGCCTGAACTTTATTTACAAATAACCCCTTTATTTGTAAAGGTGTAACACCTCTTCCCTGGAACTATAATGACAGAATTTTAAAATACTGCCTGGCACATAATAGGCACTTAATATACAGTAGCCAATAGTGGCAATGATATGTACAGCTTTGAACAAGGAGGTAGTGGGATCTTTGGGCTAGAATGGAAACTAAGCATTCGTTTTCCTGTTTCTGGGCAAAACTGACTCCTACCTAGAAACAAGTATTCCCTAACTGCCTTTCAGCTATTGAACAAGTTTCACAGCCTGCTGCGTGTCAAACATTGTTTTAGGCACAGGGGTTACAGGGGTGACCAGGCAGCTACAGTCCCTGCTTTGTGATTATGGTTTGGGGATGCCTAATTATTTCACCTTAAACCTTGCTTGAATCTCCCAGTGATTTCTTGGGGGCTTTATGATATGGTAAAAACTATATGGGACCAGCCCAGGGCCCATGCGTTTTGCTCTGAGGCCTATCATTTCTTTGCCTCCTTCCTAAAAATGGAAGCAGGGGGACTGGGGTATTCTGAGCTGACTTGCCTATTTGTGGTGTTTTTTTTTTTTTTTTTTTAGACGGAGTTTTACTCTTGTTACCCAGGCTGGAGTGCAATGGCATGATCTCGGCTCAC